CGGATATTTTTAAGAGAGCTTTCAGGACCCGATATGGTCATTATGAGTTCCTTGCGATGACTTTTGGGCTGACCAATGCCCCAGCAGCGTTCATGCATTTGATGAACAACGTGTTTCGACCTTATCTCGACTCATTTTTTATTGTGTTCATTGATGATATTCTGGTGTACTCGCGTAGTCAGGAGGAGCACGCTGAGCATTTAAGAGTTGTATTGCTGCGGTTGAGGGAGGAAAAGCTTTATGTAAAGTTCTCTAAGTGTGAGTTTTGGCTCGGTTCAGTGGCTTTCTTAGGGCACGTGGTGTCCAATGAGGGTATTTAGGTTTATCCAATGAAGATAGAGGCGGTTCAGAGTTGGCCCAAACCGTCCTCAGCCATAGAGATTCGCAGTTTTCCTGGTTTGGCGGGTTATTACCGTCGGTTTGTTCAGGGGTTTTCATCTATTACATCACCCTTGACCAAATTGACTCAAAAGGGTGCTCCTTTCAGGTGGTCGGATGAGTGTGAGGCGAGCTTTCAGAAGCTCAAGACTACCTTGACCACAACTCCAGTGTTAGTTTTGCAATCAGCTTCAGGTTCATATACGGTATATTGTGATGCTTCTAGAGTTGGTATTGGGTGTGTGTTGATGCAGGAGGGTAGAGCGATTGCTTATGCTTCTTGTCAGTTGAAGCCCCATGATAAGATTTACCATGTTCACGATTTGGAGTTTGCTGCCTTGTTCACGCATTGAAGATTTGGAGGCACTATCTATATGGTGTGTCTTGTGAGGTGTTTACTAATCATCGTAGCCTCCAGCACTTATTCAAGCAGACTGATCTCAATTTGAGGCAGCAGAGATGATTAGAGCTGCTAAAGGATTATGATATTACTATTTTGTACCATCCGGGAAGGCCAATGTAGCGGCCGATGCCTTGAGTAGGAAGGCGGTGAGTATGGGCAGGTTGGCATATATTCCTGTTAGGGAGAGCCCTCTTGCAGTCGATGTTCAGGCTTTAGCCAATTAGTTTGTGAGGTTGGATATTTCGGAGCCCAGTCGGGTCTTAGCTTGTGTGGTTTCTCGGTCTTCCTTGTTTGATCGCATCAAAGAGTGCCAGTATGACGGTCCTCATTTTGCTTGTCCTCAAGGATAGAGTTCAGCACGATGATGCCAGAGATGTGACTATTAGTGATGATGGGGTGTTGAGGATGCAGGGTCGGATATGTGTGCCCAATGTAGATGGGCTTCGAGAATTGATTTTGGAGGAGGCCCATAGTTTGTGGTATTCCATCCATCCAGGTGCCACGAAGATGTATCAGGATTTGAGACAGCACTACTGGTGGAGAAGAATGAAGAAAGATATAGAGGGGTATGTGGCTCGATGCCTCAATTGTCAGCAGGTGAAATACGAGCATCAGAGACCGGGTGGCTTGCTTCAGCAGATAGATATTCCAAAGTGGAAGTGGGAGAGGATCACCATGGATTTCGTAGTTGAACTCCCACGGACTTTGAGGAAGTTCGATGCTATTTGGGTGATTCTGGATCGGCTGACCAAGTCCGCGCACTTCATTCCGGTGTGTACTACCTATTTTTCAGAGCGGTTAGCTGAGATTTATATCCGAGAGATTGTTTGCCTGCATTGTGTCCCAGTTTCCATCATTTCAGATAGAGGTACTTAGTTTACATTGCAGTTTTGGAGGGCGGTGCAGCGAGAGTTGGCTACTCAGGTGGAGTTGAGCACAGCTTTTCACCCTCTCAGACGGGCGGACAGTCCGAGCGCACTATTCAGATATTGGAGGACATGTTGTGCACTTGCGTCATTGATTTTGGGGTTTCATTGGATCAGTTCCTACCGCTCGCGGAGTTTGCATATAACAACAATTATCAGTCGAGTATTTAGATGGCTCCATATGAGGGTTTATATGGGAGACGGTGTAGATCTCCAGTAGGTTAGTTTGAGCCTGGCGAGGCTAGGCTTTTGGGTACAGACTTTTTGCAGGATGCTTTGGACAAGGTGAAAGTGATTCAGGAGCGGCTTCATACAGCGCAGTCGAGACAAAAGAGTTATGCTGACAGGAAGGTGCGTGATGTGTCTTACATGGTTGGGGAGAAGGTTCTACTGAAGGTTTCACCCATGAAGGGTGTTATGAGATTTGGGAAGAAGGGTAAATTGAGTCCTCGGTTCATTGGGCCTTTTGAGGTGCTACGGAGGATTGGGAAGGAGGCTTATGAGCTTGCTTTGTCACCTAGCTTGTCGAGTGTGCATCTAGTATTTCATGTTTCTATGCTCCAGAAGTATATTGCGTTTTCCGGTCGGCAGTGGAAATCTTGATATCGGGGTCGGAATGGAATTCCAGAAATTGGAGTAGGTCCGTTGTGTCATTCGTGACGTGTGTGCAAAATTTTAGGTCATTCGAATGAGGTTTGATAGGTTTCGGCATCGTTTGCGAAATTCAGAAGTTTGGAAATCCATAGGCTTGAATCCGAGGGTGATTTGGTGTTTTTGATGTTGTTTTGAGTGTTCCGAAGGTTGGAATAAGTTTGAATGGTGATATGTGACTTGTGGGCATGTTTGGTTGAGGTCCGAGGGCCTCAAGATGGATTTGGATGGTTAACGGAAAGTTTGGCTTTGAGTTGTGGCTGCAGATTTTGCTGCTTCTGTCATTTCCGCACCTGCGAATTGGGGACCGCAGGTGCGAGGTCGCAAATGCGCAATGGAGATCGCAGGTGCGTGCATTGGCCATTAGGAGAAGAACCGTAGATGCGGTTATTTGGATGCATCTGCGGCACCGCGGGTGCGGTGATTGGGCGCAGATGCGGTCCTGGTCCTTTAAGTGATTTTTTCGTAGGTCCGCTCCTGGGACCGCAGGTGCGAGTCCGCAGGTGCGAGGAGTTATCCGCAGGTGCACAATCCCTAGGGCAGAAAGTATAAATTAACCCCTTCGCGAAATTTCGCCCATTTCCACCTTTTTTGAAGTCGGGATTGAAGCTTTTGAGGGATTTTGAAGAGGGATTCAAGGGGAAACACGTTGAGGTAATGTTTTTGTACCTAAAACTCGATTGTATGGTGATTTTCAGTTGATTAAGCATGAAATTTGTGGGATTTAAGGGTGAAAATTGGGGAATTAGGGCTTGGAACTTGAGAGTTAAAATTGGGCGATTGAGGGGTCAAATGAAGTTAGATTTTTGTAAATTTGGTCTGTATGGACTTGTGAGAGGATAAGGATTCTAGTTTTGTGATTTTTGTCGGATTCCGGGGCGTGGGCCCGGGGGGTCGGGTTTCGCCAATTTCGGGATTTTTGATTTAATTTGATAATTTTCGCATGGGCTTTGTTCCTTTAGC